GGTTGCGGTAGGCGCTGCTCTCCTGCCTCCCCGGAACGCGGAAAAGAAAAGGCGGCCGTCCGAGGGCAAGTGATTTCAATTCCGCAAGTCAGGAGCTTTGTACAACCGCCCGAAGGCGTCCCTGCCCCGTTACCTGCGGTCCCAACACGCGTCGCCACCGCTCCGTGTCGATAAATTCGGTCCGTCCCCGAAAATCCTTGTCACTTGTACACAAAACAGTGATTTTCAAAGGGCTAGCATAGCCTTGTGAGGGTCACGATTCTAAAATTGGCCAGTTAGCACTTTCTGTACAAGTAACACAATGAATTACTTCCAATTGCTGAAAAAAATTCGTAACTCATTACCTTTTTTAAAACAACATCTTTATCGACAAAGTAAACAGCCAGAAAATTCTCTTAGCAAGAAAAGGAGAATGCCACTGTAGGCTTTTTTTTTATTTTTTATTTCTCTTCCAGCTCACTGGCTGTCACTGCAACCAAAATGTAAATCGAGTCTTACATGGAGTCTTCTGTTAAATCCGAGCCGGTTTTGGCTGGCAGACATATGGTAGACTTCAGAATTCATCCTTTTTCCACGACAGAGAAGCAAGTGCTCAGAGCTCTAGATGTACCTCCTGCACTCTAGTTCCAGAGTTGATGATATACAAGTTACTCCGTCCTACACGGTACCCCTAAAACACAGCATTCCTCCACATTTCCAAGACATGCAAATTATCTATAGCTTTTTCTGCAAAAGCATACAGTTAGTCCATGTGATTTGCCTATTCACCTACTTCTAGTTCGGCTTCTACTCTAACTTAGGACCTACACAGAGTTTCTCTTACGTGTTCTGACATTGTTGCTGTGTAATGGAGCTGCTGCTCCTACAACAGCAGCAACCCTTTCCCCCACCGTTACAGGCCTCTCAACTACTGAAAAATAACCCATCAATCAAGTCTCAGAGAAAATAGTCAAAAATCCACACCTTAAAAGGAATTTCAATTTTTCAGGATGTCCCATTTACACATAGAAAAGTCAGTATCCTGGTAAGCAAAACGAAATAAACACAACAGTAGCAACTTGTAAAAGCGTACATAAACTGAGCTATCAAGTTGATGTAGAAATCCCCTGAGCTGACAACTAAGGACTTTCTTCCGTCTTTGTGACAAAAAAAAAATAAATCACAAGAACAGATAGGGCGTGAATTACACCGTCAGTTTATGCTAGCTGTCACAGTATTTACTGTGAGACAAACTTTTACAATGCAATAACAAGCACAACCACCTACAATCCATACAGCAGAAACTAGCCCCCTTCACTTAATCTAAGAATGCGGCCTCAGCAGTCCTTGGCTTTGAGGGTCCTGGATTTGTACGTAAAGTTACCATTTGCATGATGGTTGACCGGGTATTTGTGAAACCTTACTCTCCGTTTCAACTGTTACTCGCACCTTCCTTACAAGTCACTTGCATCAGCCAGGCACACCTACAGTCTTAGTGGTGATCACGCTCTAGAGCTGGGCCTGCCCAGTTCTTCAGAGAAATCTTTCTTCTGGAGGTTTCCGGGTCACATTTAAGTATTTGAAGGTATCTGCTTATAATCTCAGCTTTCATCCCAGACAATGCTGCAGGAAGTAGGAATTGTATCTCAGATGTAAAAGCACCTCTCATTGAATACGATTAGATACATGGCACAGCAGACTACTCGTTTCCTTCACCTGGGGAGCACCAGTAGCCATGTCAGGGGCAGTCAGTGTCAAACCTTCTGCTTAGTATTTATTGATGCCAAAGATTCGAACGCCATGCAACTGTGGCAGCTTGGGGATAAGCACGGTCAGGAGAGAGGTTGTGTTGAGGATAAAGTGTGTCGGATCATACTTTGTGTAGAAACTCGCCAGGAAGTACCTGCGGGAGAAAAGGGAGCAAGCTCAGCTGATAACACCCTTGTCTAAAAAAGAAACAAACAAAGCATAGTTGAAAAAAGTGCTTTAGTAACCAGTCCTATTTTACTGATTAACAACCCATCCGTTCCTGGGTTAAATATCTCACCTGAGGTTCTACAATATCTACAGCAAAATTATGGACTAAGTCTCTTCTTCCCATACTTCTCAAGGTGCCAAAAAGCAGCTCTCGGCCAGTATTTTCCTCCAGCCTGTCTCCCCGCCCCTCAAGCTGGAGTCTCTGACTTCCGCAGCTACAAGCCTGATTTTGTGACACAGGTTTTAAAGGGTGTAAGATCTGCTACCCTAGCAAGCGCAGTGACAAAGCATTTGATGTTTTTCAGTGCAAAAATCATTTATGCTGAGCACATCTGCGACTGGCGTGATTTTAAAATGTTTCCCGTCTGGCAGATGTTCCTAGCACATTTTTCTTTTAAGCTAGTCCACAACCTGTTCAACGGGAAGAATAAGGAAATGTGCCTCAGAAAATCCAATTCACTATCAACTTCTTTACGCTTTGAGCCAATAACTTCATCTCGTTCTTTGCAAAAACTAGTCACAGAAATGGGGCTATCAGGTTGTTGGGGTTTTGTTTTTTTCCCAGCAAAACGGAGATGTTTATTCAGCTACTTATGCATTATTAGTGCACGAAGAGAACCATACGCAAGTGTTACGAATACAAAATTCCCACTGGAAAGTGGGAAGCTATCTTTGAAGAAAGAGAGGATTTTTTTCAGGAGTTACACATATTTTTTCAGTTTCTCTCCTTTGTGAACTAACTTTCTAAACATGATGCAGGATCTTCCCTTCCCCCACCCTCCACACTGCCATGCAAGTGGAGAACTTCCTTAAGGGGAAAAAAGACAGACTTTTTAGAGTCAGATATTAAATACATATCTGATTTCCTTTATGTTAGTTACACAACCATACTTTTGTCAACAGAGACAGGCAGCACAGAATTTCTCATCTACTTACAGAACTAGTGTAAACAGAAGACGATCTGTACAAAGCAAAACCGACATGCAAAATCCTGGACCCCATTCAGTGAGGACTGCCACACTCCTCCTAACTCACAAGTTGTAAAATGGTTAATAAATGCTGCATGCGCTAACGGCAATTAGTTTAGATTTTTAATATTTATGACTTCACAATCTCTTAAAGAACTTCAAGAGTTAACAGTAAGTTCTCCTCATAACGTTTCTAATCTTTAAAACCTGCCCCATTAATAACTGTTTACAAACTTCGACTTCAGTATGTGAATTAGAGTGTTGAAAGCTGCAGGAATTAAGATTGTTGGTTATATGGCCTGTAAATATGCACTCCCTACCTCTGTGATGTAGAAACAAACAAACAAGAAAAAAAAAAAAAAAGAGAGAAAATGCTTTTAGAATTAAAATTGCAACTCATTTGGTTGCAGCTTTTGAAATCATGGCTTTATGATTCAATTAATCCATAACACGGTTTTGAACTCACAGAATTATAGGAGAGATTGTGAAGAATTTTCTTGAAGATGTAAATTGTACTCCATAATCCAGTTGTTCCCAGTGTGTTAGTAGCCTAGCTTTCCCCTGATCAGGTGTTTCAAAAGGAGTTCCCTTTACTGCATGCAAAAACACATACATTCCCTGGGGGAAACAAGAAGTGAATACAGTGGCACTTTTAGCTGTATTTTTTTTATAATTATTACATTGTTCAATGCATTGTAAAAAAAAAAAAAAAAAAAAAAAGAGTAAATGAATTCTCACCCAGAAAAGCTGCTAGCCTGTAATGACAAATTATAGACTAGGAAGGAAGAGACAAGAGACGATTTGCCCGAGGTTGTGCATTCAGTGGCACAGTCAGAATTAAAGCCACAGCCTATGCGACATCCGATCCACTGCCTTGTCTTCTACATTTCTACATGCAAAAATTGCATGAAATCAACAGAATTTCAACAAGCACCGTAACAAGTTTAGGGCTGCCAATTCATATTACTGCTTTCCTACGACAGTGTTAAATGAGTTGAGATAGAGTCTGCACAAAGCAAAAAAATCTATCTATGAATATGGCAGTATTACAGGAACTTTGGAAAGCTTTCTCAGCCCCCCAGTAGCTTCAAATACTTAGAAGCTGACTACCAGCAATCTGTTGAATACCATCTGTCCATCTCTTCGCTGCTTCTCCTTAACCACAGCAGACTGTTCTTTGCTGTTGTTTCTATTTGATGGGAGCATGCCATGTGTGGTCTGTTCTGAAAGATCAATTTGGGCCCAAAGATCAATCAGACAGGGGAGTCCACCCTCTTCCAGTTTTAACGAACATTTGTTTTCTATCAAAGAAAGCACACCAACTCCAAGCAAGAGCCTCCATCAGAAAATATCAAAAACTTCCATTTTCTTTCTTTAGGGTGCGTTCAGTTCTTATGCACATACAGAAATTGTTATAGAAAGCTTTATATAGAAAAATCACATTTCTTCTGAACTCTTATGAAGGAAGTGAAAGTTGAGCAAGCCACTTCACAAGTCACTTCCACATTTTTTTGGAACAGCCCCCTGACCAGAGGCCTGTTAACCTAAGAGAATTAATTTGCTTAATTAATTCTTCAATTCATTATGTTTGCAGTGTCTCAGTTTTAATAACTTAACCAAAAAGGCACATTTAGGACAGATCCAAATGCTTACTACACATTTTATTTCGCACTGGTACTTGCAGAAGGGACCACCAAAAATGCTTTCAAGGTCAGCCAAAATTTTTCCATTAGTGGAAATCCGAGATTTTTTTGTTTGTCAACAATTCAAGGATTTGTTTCCAAAAAAGCACCATGTAAATGCCGAAATACCCAAAAGTGCAGTTTATACTCATCTTCTAGTGTTCCATTAGAAAACTACTTGCCAGTGCATGCTCTCATCCCTGTTGTCATTACAGCTACTTGCAATGAATTCAGTAAGGCATTTGGGAAATATTTAGCAATACTTGTCTCTGCCAACATCTTCCGAAGTCAGGCATGTCTGATGCTGTCAAAGATAACGTACAAAATGCTCTAATGATGCTTACAATCCCACTATTAGTTTTAAACCTAGCTACAAAAATAAAAAGCTCATATTAAAAAAAAACAAACCACTTTTTTTTTTTTTTTTAATAGGATTCTAGAGGATATTATCCAACCTCAGTCTTTAAGGCCAACTATCATTTTCCTAAATAAGGAAGAAGCTATCTTTTTGTCAAGACTTCTTTGCTGTTAATCTTAGAAAGCTGAGTTAGCAAACCTCAAATATGATGTAAATTGCTGGATTATGGCCCTCTTTTCTCTAAGCTTGGCAGGACCAATATACATACTTGCATTACTTTAGATGATTACAACAAAATTATAGCATCCTGGGGAGAGGAGGCAGAAAGATTCTTAAGGTCTTCAGCTTCCAAATCCTTTTGCATACAGAAGTCATCATGCAAATCACTATCCACTGAATAACAAATGGTTTCAGGGCCTGGGTCAAGGAAGTCCAGTTTTTCCCACGGCTTTCAAATAAGATTTTTCTTATGTCGTGTATAGTGACAAAGTTGTATGCTGAAGTCATTCTGAGCTAAAATTTATCTAGCTTGACCAGAAATCAAAGCAAGAAGAAAAAGAACACAAATGTTTCTGTCCAAGGAAACAGATAAAGTGCTGAAATTTTAGGATACTAACAGATTTATGTAGAAACATTACTAGATAATATCCAAGCATTAAAAATGTAATATATTTTATGGATTCAGCACAGCTCTCTAATAACATGCAAAACACTGTAAAAGGTGGTTGGCATGATGATTTTATGTTTGCAAGATTCTAGCTCAATTAAATGCCTTTTAAAAGAATACATAAAATATGTAAGGAATACTTCACGTCTTTTGTGCTTAAACCCAAAGTGATCGTGTATTACTGCTCCTCACAAAAACAGCCAACTCATTTAATAGTGGATAAGCCAAGTAAAGGTGGTGTTTTGGCTAGCTGGATTTCTTTGTCTGTAGAGCCTGGCTATTTTTCTCTTCTCCTGCTACTAAAAATAAATGCGTATGAACAACTTTTCAAATTTTGTTACAAGAGGGGGTACTTACCAGGTTGTGAATCACATTTGTTAAAGTCCAGGCGACAGGGACACTAAAGAAAGGAATGCTGAGCAAGACAATGTGCAGCATGCCTACTCCGAGCGCGTACGTCAGCCACATTCCACGACTGTTCATCACCCGCGTGTTTGGATTTACCTCGCTGTGGGCAACTCCTACATTCATTTTTACCCTATAAAACAGAACTGTTTGAAAATTGAGACTACTGTTATAGAGAAGTACTTAACATAACACAATTTTCAAATTTGGGAAAAGGCTGTTTTAAATAAACAGGTTTGGAAGGAAGACAGTGCATAAAGCGAAGATGTACCTCAAGATCTTCAAAGCATGGTTTATAAACAGGTTAGTACAAAGGGGCTGTTGGGAACTGTTTTTTAAAAAAAGCCCAAACAAATAAAACCCACAAGCCTGCTACAGAAGGGACATTTAAAAAAATTAGTAAGCTGTGCTGTTAGAAGCTGAAGTTGCAAACCTGTAAGAAACCAAGCTTTGTAACTTTTGCCCTTTAAATTCTTTTCTCCATCCACGACAATATCCGCAGTTCTTTTCCAGTTCCCATACTGAACAATTTTCCTCCTGTTTCTCACTCATGTAATGGCTAATGAAGAATTCTGCATATACCGATTGCCCAGCCACCTACTGCTAGAAAGAACGAATCAGGACTAATTTATGCCCGCTTTTCTTGCAGCAGAGCGCAGGTTTCAGATCTTCCTCCTCTCCCCATCTGTTTGTTTTCAGACAGACATTTCTGTCTTTCAAATCTGGGTTCAAATGTTTTTTAAGTGACAGACATATGCAGAGATACGCAGAACAATTTCATAATGCTGATTTCTTCAGGAGATTGACAGAACTTACTGGAGGTGACACTCTCGTCCTGTTGTAATAAAATTTGTAATGATAATTAGAAAAAACTCATTGCATACTCCATACTTGTGATCTGCAAGACTATTTATATTCATTTATGGAACTGGGATGGAGACTTTGTAATTTCCTTCTAAATCGGTCTACAAAAGCATTGTTCAACCAGCAAGAATAGTTTGCTTTTGGTAGGAAGTTTGTTTCTTATACTCGCGTAGTGCTGTAAAGCACTGTTAATACCCAAGCATTTTGCACTATTAACAGTAGGCTGTAGAACAAAAATAGACGTGATGAATCTGAAACTGAACCGGGGCAATGCTGATTTTAATCAATACTCGTTGCAAAGTATTTCAAAACGTGCGTGTGCAGGGAACCCATTACCTGAGATGGGTGAAGTGAGATCGTTCCTCCTTCCCTGGATGCAGCACCGCAGGTGAGCGAGTACCTAGACGTACCTCTTGACATAGTCTACCATCTCCTCCTATCTTTTCCTCACGTTTCTCGTCTAATCGGACGGACACCTTGTCTCAGTTCGCCGTACCCCCGTGTCGTCTCTCCCATCGCCAGGAGCCCAGCCGCACGGAAGAAGCGGGACGCTGCGCCCGCAGACCCGGCGCAGGTCGCCCCCGCAGGAGCCGGCGCCTCCCCGGAGAGCCGCTTCCC